GTATACTGTATTTTACAATTCCTGTGCCATTCCACCTTGAATAACACACTATGCATGTCATCCATGTTGCAACTTAAGATGAACCACACCAAAGCCAGATCTTTCCCACAGTCTCTTCAAACCACCTCCATTGTGGAAATGACCAGGCCTCACATCCTTCTAGCTCAATGTGTTAGATATCTCTTTAGCACTACTTCACCTACTCTTGGTACTACATTCTTATTCTAGCCATTGCTACAGCAACTAGTTTATCTCAGGCACCTACTAGCTTAGAACAGGTATAACTGGTAAGAGCCTTGCCTCAGATTGCCTCAGGGCTTCTTTGACTATGCAACATAGGACTCCTGCCAGAACGAAGCAAGATGCATGCTCAACACAGGAACACCAGTGAATTAATGCCTGGTGGACAACTTTGATAACAGAGATCAAAAGCTGACAGATAAATGCTTCCCCTCTCTATTCCTCTCCGGAGAAGGGTCTTGAGAGCTTCACAAGGCTTCTCAGAAACTCCTGAGGACTGAACAATCAGTCACCGCTTGCAATGGCCAACTCAATAGCACATACTGGTATTGAGTCTCCTTCCTTTCCTGTTCACCTGGATAAATTCCTCACCTATCAACCTCATCTGAGGCTCTGCTTTCAGGGAACCCAGATTAAACTATCCAATGACTAGGTTTTAGCTTCTGATCTCTGAACAAATGCTTGAATAAATTTCTTTACACGAATACACACACATCTATGCACATATACAACACACATATATACACAGTCCAAGAATAGGAAATAATATACCAGGAAAATGGAATCTAAATCCAAACAAAAAAATTAACATTTCTCCCCAAGCCCAAGGTCTTCAGAAAACTAGCTCAGCTAAAGCATACCCCTAATTTTCATTGCTGAACAAAAATGTTTTATTCTCAGGATAAAATCTACATTCGGGCGACTTCAAGGTTTTCCCTAAGAGACAGGGGTGAGGATTTACTTTATATTTGCATAACTCAAAGGCCCTAGAGATTGTTTTCCCAATTTGCCTAACCGTGAAAGTCAAGCCTTTACTTCCTGGATGACTGAAAACTAACTGAACACAAATTTTTAAATGTCTATTTTATTCTCCAGCTTCTTGACTTTAAGGTTTCAGAAAATCTTGGGGTGTCTCATCTCAACCCAGTCACCCTTAGGCAGATAATATTTTACATAATTCAGCTGAACTCCAAAAGTACTCTTCTAGTGGGGCGAGTTACCTCGTGATCCACGAGAGGATTCAAACTGGGAAGGGAGGAGAAAAGGGAACACAAAATGCAGCTAACTGTCATTTAAGTAGGGAATGCTGCCCTATATTCCACTGGCCAGATAGTAATCACATAGCCACAGCCAACTGCAAGGAATGCTGGGAAATGTAACATTTATTCCGGGTGGTTTTGTGCCTGGGGAGAGATTTTTTTTTTTTTTTTTTTTTTTTTTTTTTGAGAGACAGGGTTTCGCTCTTGTCACCCAGGCTGGAGTGCAATGGCGCGATCTCAGCTCACCGCAACCTCCGCCTCCTGGGTTCGGGCAATTCTCCTGCCTCAGCCTCCTGAGTAGCTGGGATTACAGGCACGCACCACCATGCCCAGCTAATTTTTTGTATTTTTAGTAGAGACGGGGTTTCACCATGTTGACCAGGATGGTCTCGATCTCTTGACCTCGTGATCCACCCGCCTCGGCCTCCCAAAGTGCTGGGATTACAGGCGTGAGCCACCGCGCCCGGCCTCTGGGGAGAGATTTTGAAAGAGTAGAAAGGTGTCTTAGAACTAGCAGTTTCTGCTACTGCCATCTACAGCACACCTTCTGCAACTCCAGCCCCAATCTGAAACTAGTACTCAACAGAGTAACTTCAGCCCTGCCCACGAACAAACTTTCTGGAAGCACAAATTGACAAATCACTTTTCAGTCAGGGATCAAGAAGGTGTGGCCGGCGAAAAATCTCCAAACCAATTTCTGACAAGCATTTGCAGGGTACTTAGTCAGAGGGGTCTCGTAGTCATGGAAACCCCTCTGAGTCCCAGTCCCGTCTAAAAAAGGTACTTCCGGAACTAGCGCGCGGAGCGGGAGGATGCCCCGGAAGTATTTCTATGAGACCCCCCCCCCCCCCCACGTAGAAAATGGCTGCTGTACAAGTTGCGGGCTCCGTGCCTTGCAGGCAGTCGCGGGAGGCGCCGCGGGAAGCAACCCCTGAACGAGGCAATGGGTTCCGCCGTTTGTCTGCCAGGCTCTGCGCCTTGCGGCCGGATGACAGCAGCTCCGCCCGCACCGAGATCCACCTGCTCTTCGATCAGCTCATCTCCGAGAACTACACCGAGGGCAGCTGCGTGGCTCCAGAGGTAGGCGGCGAGTCCGGGAGAGAGCGGGTGCGGCTCCTGCTGGCCCTGGCCTAACCCCTCCGGGAACCCAGCTGGCTGCCTCCGCCTGCCTTTCCCTGCTGTTCCCACCCCTGCGCCTGATGATTTAGTTTCAGGCTGGCATGCTCACTCCCACTGTGGCACATCTTAGTTCTCCGTTTGGAAGACTTTGTGGTGCTTGGCACACTCGCGTCTTTCAAAATCCAGCTGGAGGACTTCTCTGATAATGCCTCAGGTGTCATCTCTGGTACCACCTTTCCATGCCCCCGCACCCTCCTCCACTCCCTCTCTGTGCATCCAGAACACTTTGTTGACAAAATGCAGTACTACTGTTTATTGTGTACAGCATACACGGACCACGTGCTGTACGTTACCACGCGCAGTTCCAGGAATCTTAGAACGTGGGTAGTATTAGGTCTCTTTTGCCTATGAAAATGCTGAAGCTCTTAAAAATCCAGTGTAAAAAAGTCTGCCTGCCACAAAGCCCCTAACGTTTTCTGTTCCAACACGCTAGCTCCTTCCCTCTGCTGTCTTTCTGAGTAATCTTACATACATCAGGCCTTGAATTAATGAATTCTCTGAACTGTTGACACCAGGGCCTTTTGGCCCTACGTAGGAAAGATGGAGGTGGTGCAAGTTGCCTGCTTGCACAGGCATCTCCAACTAGACAGTTCCTAAAGACGAAATTAATTAGCTTCAAACACACATTCCCGTCCCCAGCCCATCCCACCTTCCAACACACACATGCACAATCCACCAAGTCACACAAGACATAAACATTGGTTCTTCCTTCCTTCATCCCAGGCCCTCTCCAATCCAGATATTTCAGAATGTGTCTCATATATATTTCACAGTTCATGCCCTCCTGTCTATTCCCATAGCCAATGCCTTGAACTTCAGGCAAGGTGACTTATACCTGGACTGTTCCTGGACTGTCTTCTCTAACTGATCTCCTGCCTCCTGTCTGGCTTCTCTCCGAATTGATCATAAAATTTTAAATCTGCTTTGGAAAAATCTTCAATACATATTGGTAAATGGTTGAAGCAAGTTGCAGGACAATTCATACAGAATGAGATCAATATGGACCTGGAGGAGGGATTTTAAAATATGTGTGTTTATATATGCAAAGATAAGGTCTAAAAGAATCCACAACAGAGTAATAGTGTATGCCATTAGGAAGCAGAGTGAAATTAAGGCAATAGTCATGGGGCCTTTTGCTATATTTGTGTAATTTGATACTTTTGCAACAAAACTTTGTGCCTTTCCATTCTCTCCTGTTACTCCCCCTTTTATTCCTGTGTGCAGTCATTTAAAACTTGCTGTTCTTCAGGCACCTACTGGTGTTTCACATCTCCAGGCTTTTGCATGCTCTGTCTACTTTGCTTGCAGTGTTTTTAGACGCCGTGTCTGACACATGTCTCCTCATTCTTCAAATCATTCCAGATTCTGCTTTACAATCACCTCCACAAGGCCTCCCTAATTACTGTTTCTGGACAGAGTTTGTACTTTATTCTTTCAGCACTTAATTCATGTTACTTTAATTATTTGTTGTGTTTCTTTCTCTCTCACTAGGTTGTGAGCTCTTTGAGGTTCAGGAACATGTTTGTTTTTACTTTGGAGTCCAAGGACCTAGCACACTATGGCCCATAGTAGGTGCTCAGAACATTGTCATTCAATAAACATCAATGGATGAATGAGTGACTTGCACATAGGTCCCTCTTTTTTTTTTTTTTTTAAGAATTCTCTAATTATGCATAAAATTCATAGAAGTGTTAGGTCTGATTTTTTTCCAATGCCATTGAAAATCTGGTTCAGTTACTTTTTGATATTTTTAACTTCAGTTTGTGCTTTTATACCCTAGAAGCCTTTCTTTGGTTATTTAATTATACTGTCTTTACATATATAGAGACCAGAGTCTTAGCCTGACCAAAACCATACTGAATCTTTTCCATATTTTTTTCTTTTTTCTTTTTTTAAGAGACAATGTCTCACTCTGTCATCCAGACTAGAGTGCAGCAGCAAGATCATAGTTCACTGTGCTCCTGGGCTCAAGCCATTGACCCACCTCATCCTCCCAAGAAGCTAGAACTACAAGCCACCATATCCAGCTAATTCTTTTTAAAAGTGTCTTTCTGTAGAGATGGAGTCTCACTATGTTGCCCAAGCTGGTCTTGGACTCCTGCGCTCAAGCAATCCTCCAGCTTTGACCTCCCAAAGAACTGGGATTACAGCCATGAGCCACTGTGCCTGGCCTTTTCCTTCCTTTTTTAGCACATCGTATTTTTTTGCTATCACTTCATTGTTTTCCTTTCTTCCTCACATTTTCTTTCCCCATTTTGAATGTGAATAATCACTTTTATTTTCCATTTGGCTGTGTTTTGAGGATCTTCACTTGGTTAATAAGTATTTTACCACTTCTTTATCTTTTTTTTTTTGGTAGGACGTTAGTGCTCTTCTTGTCCAAGCTTGCCAACTGGTGCCTCTTAATCAGAATCATCTTGTCAGCAAAGTGTCCCAGCTTATCCACCATTTACTTAACAGATTACAGGTAATGTGTGTAACTTTAGAATTCAGATCATGAACTTTGATCGAAATACCACATCTGTAGTAGACATGACAGGCTGCTTTTTTGAGATGCTATAGGAAAAGCAAATGCCTTAATAAAAATGCTTTTAAAATAAATATAACTCTGATCCAAAACTAGATTATTCTGTAGAATTTTAGAAGTTTGTCTATTAGAAGTATGACTTTCAGTTTGGTTCAGTAAACCAGTATCATTCAGGCCCCTCAACCTTATAATTTCTTATGGAAGATATATTTGAACAAAATATATCTAAGAATAAATTGAAATAATCGCCTACCTCTTTCCCATCAATATTTTTCCCCTCACTTGCAGCTACCATTTTTGTGGTCTACTTTTGATGCTTCTAAAACATAAGAAGTAGCTTGGGGCCAAAGGGACACCAGGATAAAAAGACCCTAGTTATTTATTTAAGACTGTTACCACATGAGTATGTGAATATATTTAAGAGCACAAAACATATCAACTAGCATTATGTGAATTAGGATGCTTTTGACTGCAAGAAACAGAAAAGCCATCCCAGAGTCACTAAACAATTTTTTTAAAAAAGAAAAAGGAATCATCACATGTCCCAAGTCCCAAGGGAGGCATATATAGCCTTTAATAATAAGAGGTTCATCTTTCCCTTCACCATCCTAAGCACGTGGGTTACCCTCAGGTAGCATCTCTCACAGTCATAAGGTGGCTTCGCCAATTCTGGACAGTCCCTGCCGAAGAAATGGTTAATATTCAGTAGAAGCTAAATAACTTTATTTTATGTTGTGTCGATTAGACTTAAGAGTAAGGAAACTTGTCCCAAAAACTCTCTAATAGACTACCAGTATCTTGCTGGAGAGACTTAGGTCATTTAAATACCTCTCTAAACCAGTCTTTAAGCAGGAGAATGATCTTATTGTGAATGGCTTCAACCAGTAGTTTCAACCTTCACTACACATTACAATCACTTGGAGGCGGACTTAAGCTCCCTAGATGATTATAATGTGCAGCCACAATTGGCCTACATCAGAGTTTCTCAAACTCAGCACTATTGATATTTGACTCAGGTCATTATCTTGCGCATTGTGGAATGTTTAGCAGCATCCTTGGCCTCTACTCACCAGACGCCAGTAGCACCTCTCCAGTTGTGACAGTCAAAAATGTATTCAGGCATTGCCAGATGTTCCTTGGGGGTTAAGAATTGCTCCAGGTTGAGACCCACTCTCTTAAACTAATTAGCATTTACCCTTGGGTCTCACGTCGGAGAAGTGGACATACAAATTAAATTAGTACTCTGCCAGCAGGAAAGGAAGAAGTGGATATTGGTACATAACCAACAGTGTCTGCTGCATGGACTGAGGCTGTTTTCAGATTAGAATCCTTCAAACTAATATGGGGTAGCGTCTGTATGTTTGCTATTCACAGGTGTATCATCTTTGTAACACTGGCAATTGGAGATGTTCCTGATCACCTGTGGCACTTACAACCCTTTACCAGCTTTCTAGCATTTGGTGACACTTTGTCTCAATTGTCCATGAATTGATACTTGGATTAGCCTGATCTGTCCCAACAAGATTATCAGCTACTTGACGGCAGGGATGTGCCCTCTCTTCATGGTATATTTCTCACATCATTTTATATTGGATCACTGTGTATTCATTGAGTCTTTGTTATGTATAAGGCAGTTCAATTGAATTAGATTTCAGTGCATTGAAATACATCTGTGTATTCACAGCTGCCAGTGTCTGGTTAGTTCAAAGAAAAGTTATAAGGACTTTACCAAGTTCTACTTTATACTAAAGAGGAAGAAGTGAGCAAGACCTTGGGGCAGAGAGAAGGCCCCTATGTTGATCAAATTTTCAGGCCCTTTAGAGGTGATCCTTTTGACACATAAACAACAGACACACACTCTCTCTTTTATACAGCTTGATTCAGGTGAGCATACATGTCCATAAAAGCATAATATTTTTTAAAAGTTAGATCATAATATATTTTTTCCTCTCCTGTTAGGTAATTGTTGACGAACAGCACTTGGATTTCCTGTTGGCATATACTATTTCGGCTGTTCATCAGTGTAGTTCCTGGACATACATGGAAATTCTTCAAGCCCTGGCAGCTCTGGTTTACTGCAATGGCTCAAAATGTCAAAAGGTAGTTTAAACCGTTCTATGCCTCCTTTTAAGGGCTAGGAGTACAGGCTCTGGAGCCAACACTGTGTTCAGGTGTCTATCTTGCCACTAATCTCTAGCATTTCTTATTCAACCACTCTGGGCCTTGTTTCCTCATGTATAAAATAGTTACCCTGAGGATGAAGTGAGAAAATACTTGTCAAGTTCATGGCCCTCAGTAGGTAGTAACCATTATTATTATTACCTTTACCCACCAGCTATGCGGCCACACTAAAGAGCATCAGCAGCTACCTAGGCTGGGAGTAATGTTCCTTACTGATGCTTTTTGGCATATCTTTGCATATCCATCTGTGACATTTACCTAATAGCTAGTGTTTTGGTGCTTAACTGCTATTTAGTTAAAAAAAACAGAAGAAATCTGTCTAAAACATAATGTTTTTCTAGAGGCTTTTCTTTGACCTACATTGACTGTTATTTTGTCTTAGTACCTCCCAGAGCTGCTAGGCAAGACCGGGCTCTTACTGAAGTTGAGTGACTCGGCTCAGTCTGATCCTGAAGTCAGGAGAGCTGCAGTACATTGTATGGCAAACTTATGTCTCAGGTATGTGGTTCCAGTCAAGTTTCTCAATGGTAATAAGATAGTGCCTCTGTTGGGCCCTTTGTAGGTAGTTCCCTCTGCCTGAAGCCAGAGCCAACTTAGAAAAATAACTAACTTTGCATTTCCCATGTACTTTACTAATAAAATCATCATATATTGTTTGTTAATTTTAATACTGCTTGTAAAGAAGGAAAAAATAGATAGGACCATATTCCTAAAATGTGGTAATAGTAATATAATGTGCAGTCTTTCAAAATTTGTTTTCTATTGGCATAAATTCTAAGCGTATTGAGTTTTTAGAAGGATATATTCATGCAGATTTAAGCACTGGTGAGATGTATCTGTAAAGGGCAATTTCTTTTCTTTGAAGAAGGTGGAAACAGACCCAGCTTCTCACCCTAGATTCTCACAGAGGGCAATAGGAAACAAGCAGCACAAATGTGAACTTGTTTCTGCATAACCCAGTGCTGGCCAGTGAGTAGAAAGGCAGGTATAGCCGTGCGGTTCTAGCTTGACAGGACCTGTCTGCATTATTTCCTTCTTCGGACTGAACAGCAGAACTGAAACAAGGTTTTTCTTTCTCCATGCTTTTTCTACCACAAACATCTATAACCTTTCCGTATGGAAAGCACTGTTCCTCCATATTCATTCTAGCCCTGTGCCTGTCCCCCAGCAGTAACTAATTAACCCAAATAATCACTTTCCATAGCGTAGTTGCATTCAAGGGTATATTCCAACTCTAATAGCCTGTATTACTGCTATTTTTAATTCTTAGTCTTTTGCAAGCCTCATTTCAAGAGAGACTGAGTTTGAGTTGTTTTCTCTATATGCGTTTAGTGTGCCAGGACAGCCGTATTTGGAGGAGCCCTACCAACATATCTGTTTCCAAGCTTTCCTGACTATTTTACAATCTCCAAAATCGTCTGATATGGATGATATCACATTTTGCATGGTAAGTGGACCATCACTATCTAGTGAATGTTGTGGATGTGTCTAGAAGCAGAGTGGAAGAATGTTACTAATGAGTTTAATTTGCACTATTTGCTTTGTCTAGAGAAATACACGTATATGAAATGTTTGTAACCTAAAAAGACTAAAATCATACCATTTTGGTTTAAATTATATGAAGCTTTTTATTCGTTATGTTTTGGTTTTTAGAGGAAACTATTTTTTTTTCTTCTGAGTATAAAAGCAATACAGTTGCAGGCTAGTGGCTGTCTTTAAGATGAAGGGGAAGAGAGAATTCAACAATATCTGCAATATTTTATTTCTTTTTTTAAAAATATGATGCAAATGACACTTTGTTAACATCTTTTAGAGTAACACATTTCAAATATTATAAATGTAAGATAAAGTTCCTTCTAGTCTCCTGCTCAGATATAGCCACTGAAGATAATTTGTGCTATGTGCCCTCAGATTTTTTTTTCTATGTGTAAATAAGCGTTTTACAACTTTAAATGCTGTTTTGTAACTTTTTTGTAAAAACATGCTGTTTTGTAACTTTCTGGTTTTGTTAAAACTTAATATCTCTGGGACATCTATTTAGTACCTGTTAAATATACCTCATCCTCTCTAACTGCTGTGGCTGGAAAACCTTGGACAAATTACATCTTGGGCCTCCATGTTCCTCCCTGAAAAGGGACTGATAGAACCACATTGTGGGTTCTTACGTGAAGTATATGAAATAAAACATTCAAAGGGTCTGCTGTTATTGTTGTTGAGTTTTACATTTAGCAGAGGGTTAGCTTCTTTTATAATCATTATAATCATCAAAATTGAAGTTTTTTCAGTTTTTCCACTATTTCAAACAAGGCTACAGTTCACATCATTCCCAGTGTAGGGAGTATTTCTTAAGGACAGAGTTCTAGAATTGAGATTACTGAGTTAAGAAATCAATGTTGGTCAGAATTGCCCTCCAGAAACCAAGTTTTTATCATTCATCATCTGTTCCCACATACATCCCTTTGCCTTTAAGAGCTGCTGGCGTTGCCATAGTACAGAGCTTCCCCACTTCTGATCTGTGCTATCTCTTTTTTTATCCCTTGTCACATTTTTCTTGCTAAATATCTTTTCTCTTTTTTCTTACTCACCATTTGTACATACTGATTTATAAACATGTACACTAAGGCCACTTCATTACTCTTTTCTTCTAGAAAAGAATTCATGGTAGTTTATCAGGTCTCTTTGGAACTTCATCTCTGTTTTGTGTATATCTGTGTGTGTCTAAAGGTTTTTTCATCATCCAGAGACTGTCTCTCTTCCATCCTAAGTGGTGCTAGTAAGTTGATTCTTGGACAACCAGATTTTATTCTGCCTTCTAACTGGGTCTCCCTTTCCCCCCTAGTTGTTGCAAAATGCATTAAAAGGTATACAGTCACTTCTAAATGGTGGGAGAATGAAACTAACACAGACTGATGAACTCGGAGCACTTTTAGCTGTGCTAAAGGTAAGGCAAGTCTTCATATGATCATTGTCTTTCCTGATTCAACCCGTGATACAAGGACCACTTTACATCCTTATTCTAAGGCTAACTTTAAGGTATTCAAAGTTCCTATATATATTTTGAGAGACTAGACCAAAATGTTTGATTTCAAAGATGCTTAATATTAAGAACAGAAAATAGTAAATCTCCATTTAATAAATGTGTCAAAATTTTAAAATTATCTGTGAATCTTAGTAAGGGAATAGGTAGGGGGATATTACCTGTAGAAGATTTAATTATAGATTATGTTGTACCTGTTTGTATTTGCAAGAAGAGCCAGTGCTTCTCCTTGCCTTTCTCCTCCAAGTAGTAGGCAGGACAAACAAGACGTGTGTCAGTGGGCAGCTTCCAAGCATGCCAGTCAGTCGGAAAGTCAGGCCAGCATCCGGGGACCCAGCTTCTTCAGCCAGTGAAGCAAGAAGCAGCAATTCTTTCCTTGTGCCATTCTCTTGCTCCCCCATCAAAAAGAGAGATAGATAGCTAGATGTGGAGATAGGTAAATAAAAATGATAAATTGGTTTTAAAAAGTATAGATAGATATGGATAAATTTTATAAATAAATAAGGAAACTAAAACCAGACCTGATCTGTTCTGACCAAACCAGATCCAGCTGGAGGCCAGATCAGCTTAATCTCTTCTTTAAGCCCTATGCCTTCGAGGTATCTATTTTCTGTCACATTTCTATTTCCTTAGTTGGCTTTTAAACATTAATCTGTTAGTGTTCTGATCCAGACATGGTGAATAGTTCTGTTTTATGATTAATGGTTTTTTTTGGTTTTGTGTGTCTCTCTGTGTGTGTGTGTCCTTATTTATCATTATTAGAAATCCATGTTTCACGGACTCCCTGGACTAAACATAGAGATGCCCACGGTGTTATACCCAACTCCACTTCCTCAGTATGATGGGCGAACACCTATCAAACCACAGCAATCAGAATCCAGTACTTCTCGACCAACTTTGGTACATTTATGTTTATTTAGATTTAAGTTGTGGCTTATTTTTAATAGATTGCTGTGTGTGTTTTATATAATTTTCATCACTACTACCCTAAAAGCCTACCTTGAATTTTATTTCAGTTTAGGGTTGCTAGCATAATTCATCTGAGGCTCACAGTACCAGTTAAAGCATCTTTTACCTCTTATAGGTGTAGTCACTCTAACAGCTATAAAAATGAGCGTTCACTTTATACCCCACACCAAGCATTTTCATCCCCACGACGCTCAAGACCAGCAGTCAACAAACGTTTTCTAAACTTTCTCTACAAGGCTAGCTTGTAGAAACAACAAACGTTTTCTAAACTTTCTCTGCAAGGCTAGTAAATACTGTAGGTCTCTGTCATAACTACCAACTCTATTGTAATAGGGCAAAAGCAGCCATAGATACAATGTAAATGAATGGGCATGACTGTGTTTCACTAAAACTTTATTTACGGAAGCAGGCTATGTGCTGGGCTGGATTTGGCTTTTGGGCCATAATTTACTAGCCCTTCTCTAGACCATTACAAGCCCACCTATCAGTCAGCGCTCCATTTCCACAGCCCTCACATTCACCTGATTTCCCAGCCTTTCCAGATAACTGCCATCTCCCTTGTGCTTCAGTTGGAGAACCTGAAGCATACAGATGTATGGTCAAGGATTCACATCCAGAAGTGTTATACCTGATCAAAATGCTTCTCATTAGAAATGATTTCAGTCATTCACTCAATCAGCATTTACCCAGTGTCTGCTGTGCCCCACACACTGCGCTAAGCACTAAGAATATGGACCCTGGCTGCTTTTAGGAGTTTGAGAGAGAAGGCAAAGATGGATAAATAAGCAGCTACAATGCAATACTATTGTTTCTATCATCAGAACATTCTCAGAGTACTCTGGGAACACATTGAGGTCACCCAGTCTAAATGGAGGAGAAAGAGGAGGCTTTTTAAAAGATGTGGTAGCTAAACAGAGATTTCAGAGTGAGTAGCAGTACAGAGAAGGAGGGATGAGTGTTTCAAGCAGAGAAAAGGTGCATAGACACAGAGAATGAGAGTATATATTGCCCATTTGTTAACTAGTCAGTCTAGAGTTTCAGAAAGGGGAGAGGAAGAGTGGAGCTGTTGTGTAGCAGAGGCTGAATGATAAGGTTCTTGTACAGGAGACTGAGGAGTTTGGGTTTTTATCTTGTAGGCAATAGAGATTCATTAAAGAATAGTATATAGGGGAATAATGTGATCAGATTTGCATCTTAGAAAAATCATTGTGGTAGCAAATAAAAGAGTACGGGTCAGGGGCCACAGTAAGTAGTCCAAGGTAAAAGTAATGGGAACTTCCTTCCTCAATGCCACAGACTTTGAGAACGTGGAGGAAGACACAGATTCCAGAGATAGTTGGATGTCAGAAAGAAAGGGAGAAAGAAAGAAACTGGCTTCTACCTAGAATCTACTTCTACGGAAACCCAAGGCCCCAAAATATGCATTATATGTAATGGATTACCGTCTCTCCTGTGCAGGCATGTAGAATCGTATTAGCTATATATGTTTCTTGGAGAACTGATAAAATAGACACTCAAGTCATTTTCTATAGGCTTTAATGCTCTTGAGGAGTTCCAGTTGAGAAGGCTGAATACTTTCACAACACCTGTGCAAGGTAGGTGGTATTAGCCTCATACTTACAGATAAGCAAGGTCAAGCTCAGAGAGGCTAAATGACTTGACCCAAGTCACAGAGGTGCAATTTGAACCCAGGCCACATGTTTTACTCTGTCTCATGTATCTTATACCTTCCTTCTTATAGGAGAGAGCAAGCACTTAGCATCGTGCCTGATGCTTAGGGTATTAAAGAAGTTCCACTTTTTTCTTTTCTCTTGTCTTCTTTAAACTACATGTTGGGGACATATTTAGTCACTTTAAAATGAAGAAGTAACAATTCAGTTAAAAGCCATTCTGAAGTAGCTATTATGTATGTCTTCATTTGCTCCTAAAATCAGAATAAAAAGAAAAAATCCAAAGTAAAACCAAAGAAAATCCAGCAAGGAGAGGAGGAGGAGGAAAAGGAATCCAGTGGTGAAATAGAGGCAGCCCCAGTCACTGGCACAGGCAGAGTGAACCTGCATGAAGGGAACACTTGGTGTCCCTCCTCCCTGGGTGTCCAGAGTTTGCGTTTAGATGGAAGTGGAGCTGCAGGAAAAGATGGAGTCTCCTCATCCTTCAGTTCTTCCAGTTGGAAAAGGGTCAGCAGTAGTGAGTCAGACTATTCTGATGCTGAAGGAGGCATGCAGAGTAAAATGAGGTAGTAGTATTTTGTTACATTTTTATACCTTATATTCTAAGTTGCATGTAAGTTTATAACTGCTGAAAAACCTGACTGCTGCATGTGATTTAACTTGAAGAGCCTGATTTCTGTGGGGCATGGTGTTACTCTGAACATGACTTGCTTTCTTGATCTGCCATTCCACATGTCATTACTCTCCTTAGAATATTCTTGACTTCTTCTGTGCCTTTTCGTCTTGCTAACCACTACTCATCTTTGATATGGGCTCAGAAATCATATTCCCCAGGAACCCTTTTCTGCCTAGTGTTATTAGTAATGTATTATTATAATTATTTCCTTAACTTCCCCCCACTGCCAAGCTTGTCAAGGCAGGGTCTTTTCTATGTCTGCCAGCCTTAGCGTGATGCCTGGGACATACCTACGTCATTCAACAGATATTCGTTGGATGGATGGATGGATACTTGGCAGTGTTTTGCGTCTAACACTAGTTTCCTGATATCAAAATGTTGCCCTCTTGTTCTCCAGTTGTGTTTTTTAATTGTCAGCCTTAATAACTTGTTATAGAAACAAATTGTCTTAACATGTTTTGATTGTAGTTTGAAAGAAAAATTTTTAATAACACATTGACATCTTTAGAGATTATTTAGAATGTTTAATTTTTGAATGTATCATTTGAACTGGTGGAAATAAATACCATTTCGTGTTTGCATTAAAAAAAAAAAACTAGTTTTAAACTTTTTTTCTTTTTACTCTTGGATGTGAAAGGTCTTACCAAGCCAAAGTTCGCCAAGGAGCCTTAGTTTGTTTTCTTTCTACTATAAAATCGATAGAAAAGAAAGTTCTTTATGGCTACTGGTCAGCCTTTATTCCCGATACACCTGAACTTGGAAGCCCACAGTCAGTGTCCTTGATGACTCTTACATTAAAAGATCCTTCTCCAAAGGTAAGAGATTTAAATTCTAAGCTTTATAATAGGAAGAAAAAATTTACGGATCCTCATTGTTGTTGTTGTTGTTTTTCGAGACGGAGTCTTGCTCTGTCACCAGCACAGTCGTGCGATTTCTGCTTACTGCAACCTCCGCCTCCCAGGTTCAAGCGATTCCCCTCCCTCAGCCTCCGTAGTAGCTGAGACTACAGGTGTGCACCACCACGCCCAGCTAATTTTTGTATTTTTCGTAGAGACAGGGTTTCACCATGTTGGCCAGAATTGTCTCCATCCCTTGACCTCCTACCTGGCCCTCCCAAAGTGCTGGGATTACAGGTGTGAGCCTCTGCGCTTATTGTTTTCTCTGCCTTGTCCTATCTGATCTGAATACAGCTCTTAGTAACACTGACCCAAGTTCTGACTTGAGAACCACTAGAGAGGCAGGAAAATAGGAAGTGGGCTTATGTGAATAATGCATTGAGGGTGACCATGTAGCGTCGCTTCCTGCTCCAGGGCTTGCTTGAAGCCTCAGCACACTGAATTATAACTTTGATGTCTCCCTTGAACTGCACTGAAGCAGCCATGCTTCTCTTCCTTTTATGAAAATATTGATTGCTGTGGTATTTATAACAAGAAAACATCAGAAATGGCTTAAACAACTCAGTAGAATATCATGGTACATAATGGCTTTGAAGGATGCGTAAGGCTTAGAAAAATGCTCAAAATGTTCTGTGAAAACACAGGATATAGAATTATATATTATAGTAGGATCCCAAATGTTTTTTTCTTGCAACTTTTCCATAGTTTTCAAATCATATGTAATAAATATTTACATATTTTAATAAGAAAGACATTTTTAAAAAAGAAGAAAAAGCTATTTGGTAGGCATGGATACCTATAGCAAGATATCTCATGACTGATCAAATATTTGTCTCTGCTTGAATATGTTAATTCCTCTCCAGAAGTTAGCCACTTAACCAAGTAAGGAAACAAAACTGCTGTTTACAATAGTGAACATTAAAAAGCCATGCTGAATGGCACCTGGGTGTCCTCACAAAGAGAGAAGTTTTAATTAGGCCAACAGCATATTGTTCCTTTCCTATTTTTAAGATTAGTACTTAAGGGGTCAGGGTGGTAACCCACAATATGTTGGAATTCCATATGAGTCATCTCCTTGAGTAACTAATTACTATGTAAGAAAACTTCTGGATGACCCATCAGAAGCTTTTACAAGTAAAGAAAAATAAGTTAGCCTCAATTCTACACACACACACAAAAATGACTTGTGGGGTATTTCAAATACTCGTTATCCTAAAAAATTAAATCAGCAGAAATTTTACAATTAATTAAACCAATAGTGAACCTGAGAACCTGGGAGAAAAATGGAAAATGAGTGGTGGCAAATAAATCAGTAATGAAGCCATTAGAGTAATTGAGATAAAAACCACTAAAAATATTGAAAATGTATATTGGAAGACTCTCCAGCTAGGGGAGCTGCCAGCAGTGGCCCAGGAGATGGTGCCGTGGAGCAAGAGGCAGTCCAGCTTCATTACCTGCATCGAAGCTGCCCAGCCAAGGGGATGTGGGACGTGGGGGTTTGGAACATGAATACAAAGAGGTTATGAGAGCATCACTGATAAAAATGAATTGGAATAATTTCATGATATTTATATGTTCATTTTTTTAATGTTTACATTTCACTTAAAATGCCATGAGAAATTTCACATACTGCAAAGTGGTCTTATCCAGCTCCTTGATTTAAGTACCTTTTAGACATGTTCTTGCTGTTTAACTTTGGTGAATGCAAGAGATGTACTGAGGAAGAAAGATACAGAACTTCCTTCTGGAAATGTCCTAGATCCAGTACAAAAAGCCACCTGAAAATCCTGGAGAAATGAAAAAAATAAAACAGTCATCCTACTTAAAGAGGATTTTAAAAGATGAAAGAAATTAAATTAGTTCACTATAATGGCAAGTAAAATGATTGTACTTAGAGATTTTTTTTTTAATCAAGTGTTAGCTTGCAAGCGTATAAATAAGTGTGGTGATTATTGTTTACAACAAAGCTTGGAGCATACCTCTACAGTCTGTCCATAGTGTAATTAACTGTGTACCAAGACACATGCTAGAAGAAAGTGTTGTGATAGGTGATGTCAGTGGGACAGGCTTTTTAAATAAAGCCTTCTAGAAAGTTATGTGCATTAAAATTAAAAATAGCAGATTATCTGATTAGAATGGAACAGCATTCTGGATTGACCAAATTAAAAGAGCTGCCATGACTCCAGGCCAAGTGGTCATCTCAGGTGCTCCTTGTGCATGTAGAGTTAGATGGCTGGATTTCCTCTTAGCCAGGATTAAAAAACAGCAATAGTTTATCTTGTCGTTGAAGTGCTTAGTGATTAGTTTTGAGTTTATGATAGGTCTGATATGACCCATGGCATACTCAACTGGAAGCACAGCTTTAACTGGTTTACTAAGAAATTTTCCAAAGAGAAATGGACAGGAGAGCGGGTGATTAGATTTTTCCAGTCAGAATGCCAACAATAAACAGAGGCTACTTTTGGGAATTTGAAACATAATATGCTAGAATGGTTAATTGGGAAGAAGAAAACTTAGAAATGTCTATTAGGATTTGGCAGTGTTGTGGTACTTAGGAAATAATCACACTTCTATGTGGGAAATGTGCTTCAGAAAGCACGTCTTATAATATGCTTCAAAAAGGGACAGAGCAAATTATCAATAAAAAGAACAGGACTAATATAAGAATTTCTTTTATATGATTTTCTTAGTTGTTATAAAGGCATATTATGGAGAATATCTTCAAGACTTGTCTAAGGAACAAATTACAGGGCAAACCTTTGTCTTGGCACCTTGAGAATTATCCTGATTTACAAATTTCATGATGATGATTTATTTAATGATGATGATGCTCTTTTGGATAACTATAAAAAGTGAAAACAAATCAAAATCTAGTTGATAGATGGTATAACTAGAAAAGAGAATGAAAGGTTGGAATTCTTAACTTTTAAGGAGTGGTAAATTTTCTCTCATACGGCCAGCCAAGCACAGGCAATCTTTGCTTAGTGTATTAGTTTGTATTCATGCTGCTGATAATGACATGCTCGAGACTGGGAAGAAAAAGAGGTTTAATTGGACTTACAGTTCCACATGACTGGAGACGCCTCAGAATCATGGTGGGTGGCAAAAGGCCCTTAACATGGTGGCAGCAAGAGGAAATGAGGAAGAAGCAAAAGTGGGAACCCCCGATAAACCCATCAGATCTCATGAGACTTATTCACTATCACGAGAATAGCATGGGAAAGACCAGCCCCCAGGAATCAATAACCTCCCACCTCAGTGGGTCCCTCCCACAATACATGGGAATTAAGATTGGGTGGGGATACAGTCAAACCATATCACTTAGATAACTTCTGATCCAGAGTCCCTGACACAATGTTGAAATGCCTTTACGTAAAAGACAACTGACTTTGGAAGTGATATCTAATAAAATTAACCCTGAAACGTGGACAGCCAGGTGCCCTTCATGGAAACTTCAGTGGTACCCACTCCCATCAGGGACTTCTTTGTCACCCTTCCAGAAATATTCTGAGACCAAACACACATAAAGAGGAAAAACAATTAGGATTGACTAAGCTTACCCCAGCAAACATTTCTGCTGCATTCTTAAGTAACAAAAAAGGAAAAGTACCTTTCTGTTTTATTAGCTTTAGACAAGCCTTCATGTCCAAGGAGATGAAACTATACACTAGTAAAACCAAGTACACTGACGTTTGTAAGACTGAAAAGCCTTTCATCCATCATTTTAAATATTCGGACAATAAAAAATAAACAAAATGAGCTCTCTGGAGAGCTACACCTATTATGATTTGCCTGTACATTAGTAATTTCTGCTGAAAGTGCTAATTAGAACTGGTAAACAAGATATTAAATATTGATATAAAAATAAATGAAGCAAAACTTGTACCAGATTCAGTATCTTAAGTAACGGTGATAACAAAGATATGTTAAACAGAGTTTAAAGGAAATTAACTCAGAACTGTGAAAAGTATAATTTGACATAGTATCAAATTTCTATATAGATTTTATATCTTAGTGGAAAAAAGTAACCAATTTCAATGACATTTGTTTTCGTTTGTTAAGATGCCAAAATTGTGCTAAAATTTTTGACTCTTTGAAATTAGTTCATTTCTTTCCACAACTCAATTTTTAATTTTATTCGGTTTGTGAGCTGTTGGAATTGTGGTTTTTAATTGTCTTCTAAAGAAATGAAGGTTTAGCATAAGATCTATCTTGTTGAGTGCAGACCAGCCTCTAGAGTAGGGATTGGCCAACTATGACCTGTAGGCCAAATCTGGCCACCCGTTTTGGTATAACCTGTGAGCTGGGAACAGTTTTTACACTTTTAAATGGTTTTAAAATAATCAAAACAATAATTTTTCATGATATGTGAAAATTATATGCAATTCAGATTTCATTATCCATAAATCAAGTCTTTTTGGAACATTAGCCGCATTTATTCCTGTATGTGTCTGTGGTACGATCACAGAGTTGAGTGGTTGTGGCAGAGACTGGCCTGCAAAGTCTAAAATATAAAATGTGTACTACTGGCTCTTTTTTTTTTTTTTTAGATGGAGTCTCTCTCTGTCAACTGGGCTAGAGTGCAGTGGTGTGATCTTGGCTTACTGCAACCTCTGCCTCCCAGGTTCAAGCAGTTCTGCCTCAGCCTCCTGAGTAGCTGGGATTACAGGCGCATGCCACCACGTCCAGTTAATTTTTGTATTTTTAGTAGAGACGGGGTTTCACCATGTTGGTTAGGCTGGTCTCGAACTCCTGACCTTGTGATCTGCCCACCTCAGCCTCTCAAAGTTCTATGATTACAGGCATGAACTACCATGCCCAGAAAAGTTTGCCAACCCCTGATCTAAGTCCTTCTTGGATCAGCTGACTTGTGTTCGTGCTCTCACTCTCTTGTTCTTTCACACATATGCACACGGTTTCCTAATACATTGTCAATGTCCTACCTTAGGGGATTATGCTTCATTCTGAAGTCTGATGCTACTGTACTTCAAATTTGTTTTCAGAGCAGTAACTCTAGATTTCTGCAATTCCACTCTGTAAAAGGCCTGCCTGGTGATTTATTACCTGGTTGTTTGGAGATAATATAATTGAAGGAAGGCTTTCCGGAAAATCTTTTTGCTCCAAACTCAGATATGCTTCATATTGAGTAACTACTTAGGTTAGATTCTAGAATTGTAATGTTGATTTCCTGTTTTTTTTTTTTAATTGAAAATGTTAATTTTCATTTTTGGATGATCTGGCCAAAGAGAATACAGTATTATTTCATATTAATAGTCCTGTGCTTATTACCTGTATTCCATTTTTTGTTAAGTTGGGCTTTCTTTTCATTTCTGATTTTCAAGATTGCAAAATCATTAGAGTACCAACTGTAAATAATCATTCAACCTTATAAAGAAAATCTTGGTGCCGTTAACACCTTTCCTAACAAATACACAGTCCATGTCCTTTCCATTCATAAGCTTGTATTTAATGGTATTCCTTTCTTTAATTGCCAAATGCTATCACTCCAGGCAGTGTTATTTCCTGTACCTAAGATTGTTTTTAAAGCTTGAATTACTAATGATGCCTGCCAAGTTACATGTACACAAAGTTCCTAAAGTCCTATTTAAGTTAACATTGAGCATACATGCTTCAGAGTGGAATATGAGGCACAATGTTCTCAGGAACTTTGATATGAAACATACTCTAGGTACGTGTATTTTTTTCTACCCCATGGGCTGTTTAGTTCTGACTTTTCAATTATTCTGCTTGAATAAACCAGGCCTCTAATCCTTAAATTATTCTCATACTTAGGATTTCAGATCTTTGTGGTATGATAAAGCTTGGATTTATTTCTTACTGTAAGAAACCTAACAGCAATGTGTTCCTGGATTTTTTTTTTTTTTTTTTTTTTTTTAAGCTGGGTGTGATGGCACACACCTTTAGTCCTAGCTACTTGGGAGGCTGACACGGGAGGATTGCTTGAGCCCAGTAGTTTGAGGCTGCAGTGAACTATGATTGCGCCACTGCACTGCAGCCTAGGTGACAGAGTGAGACTGGGTCCCTAAAATAAAAATAAAATAAAGATTTTTTTTTTTTTTTTTTGGTGTGGGATGCAAGTGGCATAGTTTTTAGGAACTAACAGATAATCCCATTGCCTTTATTCTTCAGATTAAAATGATTCCATATACTTTGAAAATTAAATATGTATCTGAAGAAGGGAATCTGACTCCTGATTTTTAACTAATCAATGTGCGTCATCCCAAAATTTCAGACACGTGCCTGTGCTCTGCAAGTTTTATCTGCCATCTTGGAAGGTTCAAAGCAGTTTCTTTCTGTTGCTGAAGATACCAATGACCACAGAAGGGCTTTTACTCCCTTCTCCGTAATGATCGCTTCCAGCATTAGAGAGTTGCACAGATGTCTTTTGTTAGCTTTGGTGGCAGAGTCATCCTCACAGACCCTTACTCAGATAATTAAGGTAATGTACCAACTGTGGGTTCCAGAGGGGGCTTCTCTGTTTTAATTTTATAGACTGTTTTACATAGCCCAAAAGTGACTTGACTTAAAATATAACTAACTAATAATTTTATTAAAAATACCCTATTTGGAAGTCTGTACCCACTTGTCTGATCTTACCTGTAATCTCTGTATGTCCTAATAAATGATTTGCTAAAAATACTTCATCTTTAGTTTTTTTAGTTGTACCAATGAGAATGCAAATGTTACTTAAAAGGAAAAAAAAGGACTGATTTTTAGTTGTGTGAAAACTTTTTTAATTAAATGCTGTAAAATTTGTTTCTATGCTGTGGTTTAATCAAGCCTTTTGATGAACTGCTTTTTGTGTTTTACAGTGCCTTGCAAATTTAGTATCAAATGCACCTTATAATCGTCTAAAACTCAGCCTGCTGACCAAAGTCTGGAACCAGATAAAGCCTTATATCCGCCACAAAGGTTGGTAGTGGCTTAAAACTGATTGCTTCTTTTTATCAATCAGATGCAGAGTATTAGCAAAAATATTTAGATGTATGTATGTATTCAGAGAAGTTTTACAACTCTTAAGAGATCTCTACTTATTCTTCTCAACTTTTCAGGATATTAGCTGTTGCAAGAATCCCACTTTTGACCCCTCAAGCCACAGTGGAAGAGAGCTAGAGAATTAATTGTAAAATTTAATGCCTGTTTAATGCTCAGGGCAGTGACCAGAGTATCCCTTTAGAATTAGGGCTGAGCCAGGTATAGGCAGCCTCCCTCAGGTGTATAATAGTTTATATCCCTTAGGCATAGATAAAGGATGGATGGATGGTTAGATGGACAGACAGATGGATAGATAGATATTATATACTTTTGGGAAAGAAAACTGGGATACAAAATTTAACTTCTTTAATGTTATTTCCAGTGAAGTTCAGATAAAATCCCAGAACTTCAAATCCTTACTAACTGCAGAGTTTTATTTCTTATTTCCTCCCATACATAATGTATATGTGCTATAAATACTTGGCTTTTGAAGACTTGCTTTTCCTTTGTTTGCAAGCTTTCAGATCAGACCACATTCTAATGAGTTCAGTTTTTCAGGCAGAATTATAAGAAGAAAGGAAGAGTGGTTGTTTTCTGTGACACTGTGGGAAGAACGTGGGACCTGAAGTCAATCCAAGGGTCTGGAGCCCACCCCTATTTTTGCCATCTAATAGCCATGGCCCTCTCTGAACCCTGATTTCTTCCTAATAGCAAGAATTATAACTACGTCATAAGATTTTTATGAGAGCTCAAATCAGATAATGAGGTGTAAATAAGTCCAGTTCACTGCTTACACCAATGTGTAAAAAAGGGACTCAGAAAGATAAGTCTTACCCTAAGGTTTCACATCACATTCATGGCAGAAGTAAGATGAAAACAATCCAAGTTGTTTCAACAACCCCTGATCATTCCATTCTACCAGCTTTTAATTATCTGCATCTTCAGCTGAGGAGAGTGCACCATGTCTCAAAGGTTCCTTTTAAGTATCTGACCTTATCCTCAAGTAACTTTTTTTCTCATTAAAATGTTCAAAACCTGAAATTTTTAGGTATGAGTCTAACAAAATGTGTTTAAGATCTGTATAAAAAAACTGTGCAATTCTGATGACATAAAGAAGAACTAAATGAATGGACAGAGATTCCATGTTCATGGATAGGAAGGCTCAATATTGTAAAGATGTTACTTCTTCCCAATTTGATCTATAGATTCAATGCAGTCTCAATCAAAATTCCAGCAAGTTATTTTACAGATATCAACAAACTGGTTCTGACGTTTATGTGGATAGGCAAAAGACCCAGAACAGCCAACACAATATTGATAGAGAAGAACAAAACTGAAGGACTGACATTCATTCCCTGACTTCAAAATTTACTATAAAACTACAGTAATTAAGACAATGTGATATTAGCCAAGGAAGAGACAAACAGATCAATGGAATAGAATAGAGAGCCCAGAAATAGACCCACATAAGTATAGTCAACTGATCTACAACAAAGGAGCAGGCACTGTTCAACAAATGATGCTAGCTGGATATCACATGCAAAAAAAATGAGTCTAGACACAAAAGCTTTTAGTTTTTTGAAAATAGCTTCTTCTTAAAATCCGGGGTTCATTCAAGGTGCATGCATTGCAATTTAGTTATTATGTCACTGTGAGTCTTTTTAAATCTAGAGTCCCTCCCCCCATTTTTTTAAATATCAAACTGATTTATGAAAGAATCCAAGCCAATTGTCTTATAGATTGTAAACTCTTAAGTTCTGTCACCAAAGGTAACAAAATAAATCACATTGTCCATTTGTCAGATGGTTTCTTTATGGTGTTAACTTTTTCTCCTGTCCCGTGTATTTCCAAACTGGAAATGAGGTCTAGAAGTTTAATTAGATTCAGGTTACACAAGGAACTACCAATTCTTAATTGCCTGCAGGGATAACTACCATCTTTATGGTAGCTGTTCCCTTGGTGATAAGTTTCTTCTGCTTTCCTTTGACAGATGTTAATGTTCGTGTGTCCAGTCTCACACTCTTGGGAGCTATAGTGTCCACGCATGCACCTTTACCTGAAGTCCAGCTACTTCTGCAGCAGCCGTGTTCTTCTGGACTCAGTAATAGCAATTCAGCAACCCCTCACCTCAGCCCTCCTGATTGGTGGAAGAAAGCCCCTGCAGGACCCTCTCTGGAAGAAACATCAGTTAGCTCACCTAAGGGGTCTTCAGAGCCCTGCTGGCTCATTCGACTCTGCATTTCCACTGTCATACTGCCCAAGGAGGATTCCTGTTCAGGTAGCGATGCTGGCTCTGCAGCAGGAAGCACCTACGAACCTTCCCCCATGCGACTGGAGGCCTTGCAGGTAGGAGGTTTCATTTCCTCATCTCTGAAATGTAAGTAACCATTCTCCTTCAGAGTGACAGTGAGGAGTGAGCGGGTAAAACCAAGCCATGTGTCAGTCATGTTGGTGGGAGGTGTATTTTAGGTATGGGTGGTGTATTTGTTTTTGTTGTTGTTTTGTTTTTGGGAGGTGTTCCTTGGTTGTAAAATAGCAGATTCGTTCCTTTTTGTTCTTTGATTGCAAATTATTTTACTCATTTCAGTTATTATATGACAGGTGGCTATAATAGATTGTAGAACAATTCTGGGAGAAATTACACGATTAATTTTTGATTTTTGCAACTTAAATGTTTAATTCTCTTTAAGCTTCTCCTTGGTGTTGTATCTGCTTAGAGAAACAAAATAATTGTTCCTTCTAAGGAAGAAATCCTAAATAAAAGAGTTTGCTTTTTGTATACAAATATGATCTGAGACTAGGCCTGGTCCTGGGGTCTGCTGCTAATTAACTGGACAACATGAAACATGTCCTTTAACCTTGTCAGGCTTAGTTTCTTTAGCTGTAAAATTCAGTTAATACCTACTTTAAAGAATAGTTTCAAGACTTAAATGAGATTACATTGCTGAAAAACAGTCCTATACTAAAGCACCATAAAACTATGATACAGTTAATTGATGTTATGAAATAAAGATTATGGTTCTTAATTTCATTCAGTAGATTTCAGCCCTGTTAAATATTAGCAGTTTCTGAAATATCATAACACTTTTCTGGATATTGCAGCCTTGCACTTGGGTCTTAGAGGGTTAATTCCATGCCCTCTTTGCAGGTATTGGCTCTTCTGGCAAGGGGCTACTTTTCAATGACTCAAGTCTACTTGATGGAGCTTGGAGAGGTGATTTGCAAGTGCATGGGGGAAGCAGATCCATCCATTCAGCTTCATGGAGCAAAGGTAATTTTCATCAAAGCCACAAGGTTTTTTCCTTCTCTTCACTTTATATCCTTCCTTTATTTCACTTTATATTCTTCTGCCACATGTCCTTCAATTCTGAGATTTCTTAAAGAGTTTTCAGGTAAGGAAGACATACATTCTTCTGTTTTCAGCTCTTACATGTAAACCCCAAGAATTAATTCAGTAACACATTAACAATATATAGCTGTTGGTTTTAGTCCTTGAAAGAAGGCCTCTGTTAAAAGAGTGACTGAAAAAAGAAAGAAACTTAGTTGCAAATTATGTTTCCCTTGATTCCAGGTAATCTCCAATCTAAAGTGAAGTTGTTAGTTCTAATAATCTGCTTTGATAATTCTTTTTTCTTGGCAGCTTCTGGAAGAACTGGGCACAGGTTTAATACAGCAGTATAAACCGGAGTCTACCGTAGCACCTGATCAGAGAATACCAGTCTTCTTGGTAAATAAATGTCAATTCACAGTTTTCTTTTATTAGTGTTTCAGTTGCAGTTTTATTTTGAAGCTCAGTGATAAGTGCAGTAGATGATATATGGTTTCTTCCAGTGTCAAAAATTATATTTTATAATCCAGGAAAACATGAAACTAGTATAAATAGGTTTTATTTTCACATTTCAGTTTGTTTGCAATTTAGAATGTGGTAGGCTTATGTGTAACATATAGCAATGGTAAAACTAATTCTTTCTTTTGCATAAAACCTAGTCTGGTTACTTAGCCTGCCCAAGAGACAAACTAGAATTGTGGGAAGAGCCAAGGATTTTTTTATCCAAAGCCATGGGATCAAATTTAGGAAACATGATTGTATTAGTCCTTTTTGTGTTGCTTATAAATACCTGAGGCTGGGCAATTTGTAAAGAAAAGATGTTTGTCTGACTCACAATTACACAGGCTGTACAAGAAGCATGGCGCCAGCATCTGCCCATGATGAAGCCTCTCCAGAAGCTTCTAATCATGGTGGAAGGCAAATGGGGAGCAGTCATGTCATATGGCAAGACAGTAAGCAAGAGGGAGATGCCAGGCTCTTTTAAACAACTAGCTGTCATGTGAACGCATAGAGTGAGAACTCATTACCGCAAGGACAGCACCAAGCCATTCAAGAGGGATCCGCCCCCATGACCCAAACACTTCCTATTAGGCCCACCTCCAGTGTTGGAGGTCACATTTCAGCATGAGGTTTGGAGGAGGCACACATCCAAACCATATCACTCTGTCCCTGGCTCCCACAAATTTCATGTTCCTCTCACGTTGCAAAATACAGTCATCTAGTCATCTCTTCCCAATAGTTCCCCAAAGTCTTAACTCTTTTCAACATCAGCTCAAAAGTCCAAAATCTCAGCTGTGACTTAGGATAAGTTCCTTCCACCTGTAAGCCTGTAAGATCAAAAGCAAGTTACTGACTTTTAAGATACAATGGTGGTACAGGCATTGGGTAAACATTCCCATTCCAAAAGGGAGAAATCAGCCAAAAGAAAGGGGCAACAAGCGCCACACAAATCTGAAACCCAGCAGGATAGACATTAAACCTTAAAGCTCCAAAATAGTCCTTGACTCCATGTCCTGCATTTAGTGCACACTGGTGCAAGGGGTGGGCCTCCAAGGCAGCCTTGCCTTTGTGGCTTTTCTGAGTGCAGGCTGTGTGGCTGCTCTCAGGTTGGAGTCCCATGCCTTTGGCTTTTTCAGGCTAAGGGTGCAAGCTGTCAGTGGCTCTACTATTCTTCAGTCTAGAGGGCAGTGGTCCCATTCCCACAGTTGCATTGGCAGTGCTCAGTGGAGATGCTGTATGGGGCCTCCAACCCCCCATCTCCGTTTGGCACTACCTAGTAGAGGCTCTCAGTGGGGGCTCTGTCTCTGTGGCAGGCTTCCGTGTGGGCACCCAGGCTTAAGAAATCCTCTGAAATCTAGGTGGAAGCTCCCAAGCCTTCTTCACATTTGCATTCTGTGCATCTGCAGGCCTAACACCACATGGAAGCCGCTAAAGGCTTACAGCTTGTACCCACTGGAGCAGCAAACCAAGCAGTATCTGGGGCCCTTTGAGCCAAGGCTTGGGATGCCAGGAGCAGTGTCCCAAGGCTGTGCAGGGCAAGGGGGCCCTGGGGCGGGCCCCCAAAACCACTTTTCTCCTAGGCCTCTGGGTGTGTGATGGGATGGGGTTGCCTCAAAGATTCCTGGAGTGCCCTCAAGGCTGTTTTCCCATAGCCAAGACTATGGGAAAAACAGCTTGGTTAGCACCTGGCTATGGGAAAACAGCTTGGTTAGCACCTGGCTCCCTTTTAGTCATGCTAATCTGTCTAGCAAGTAGTTGCTCTGCAGGGCACTTGAATTCCTTCTCTACTACAGGATTTTCCAAATTTTTATGCTCTGCTAACCTTTTCATGATAAGTTCCAACCTTAAGTCATTCCTTTGCTCCTATGTCTGACTATAGGTTGTCAGAAGCAGCCACATCATCTGTTGAATGATGCTTAGGATTTCTTCCAGCAGATACGCTAAGTCATTACTCTTAAGTTAAACCTTATGCAAATCTGTAGGACATGGGCACAGTGCAGCCAAGTTGTTTGCTGGGGTGTAACAAAGGTGACCTTGCCTCCAGTTCTCCAAACTTTTCTTATTACTTTCTGAGACCTCCTCAGCCTGGCTTTCACTGTCCATATTTCTATCAGCATTTTGGTCACAACTATTTAATCAGTCTCTAAGATGTTCTAAACTTTCCTTTGTCTTCCTATCTTACGAGCCTTCCAAACTCTCAGCCTCTGCCATTACCAAGTTCCAAAGCTGCTTCCAAATTTTTAAGGATCTTGATAACAACACCCCATTCCTTGGTACTAATTTTCTGTATTAATCTCTTTGCTGCTGCTGTAAAGAAATACCTCAGACCGGACAATTTATTTTTCAAAGAGGTTTATCTGGCTCACAATTCTGCAGGCTATACAAGAAGCATAGTGCCAACCTTTACTTCCGGTGAGGCCTCAGGAAGCATCCAGTCATGGCGGAAGGTGAAGGGGGAGCAGGTGTGTCACATGATGAGAGAGGAAGCAAGAGAGAGATGCCAAGCTCTTTTAAACAATTAGCTCTTATATGAACTAATGGAGTAAAAACTCACTTATTAATACAAGGATAGCACCAAGCCATTCAGTAGGGATCCACCCCATCACCCAAAAATGTCCCTCTAGGCCCACCTCCAACATTGGAGGTCACATGTCAATATGAGATTTGGAGGGGACATACATCCAAACCATGTCAGCCACTTAATAGATATGTGATTATAAGCCTGGTTTCCTAGTTGTAAAGAGGAATAATATATCCCTTCAGTCACAAGGCTATTGAAAATCGAATGACATGTACAGCTGCTAACACATAGTAGGTAATTCCTTTACCTGTGCCCCCCACCCCGCCATGATTCTGTTAAATTCCTGTGATTTCAGGTTGTTTCTGCTACCCCCACACTGTGCCAGTTCTAAAGGAGACGGGCATGTGACCCACCAAAAAAGGCTTCTACTTAGTGCCAAAAGCAAAATCAACTCAGTGCTGGTGGTCTTTGCTCCCTCTGCCCTCCTCATTTTGCCTGTTCTTTTGCCTTCACCATTTCTATCATCCTTGCAGTGTATTAAAAACTCTAACCCTAGTCCCTGCCTTAAAGCTTTCATATAACATGCGCAGGGAGATGAGATCAGACAGAACTAGGTTTGAATCCAGACTTCTCCCTTTGTTGGATAGGTGACTTTGGCCAAATCTCTTAACTGTTCACATTCAGGTATTGTTAAAAAAAAAAAAAAAAAAAAAAAAAAAAGACATGGCCAGGCACAGTGGCTCACACCTGTAATCCCAGCACTTTGGGAGACCAAGGCAGGTGGATCATGAGGTCAGGAGTTCAAGACCAGCCTGACCAATATGGTGAAACCCCGTCTCTACTAAAAATACAAAAGATTAGCCAGGCGTGGTGGCACGCACCTATAATCCCAGCTACTCAGGAGGCTGAGGCAGGAGAATCACTTGAACACTGGAGGCAGAGGTTGCAGTGAGCCACAGTCGTGCCACTGCACTCCAGCCTGGGTGACAGAGCGAGACTCTGCCTCAAAAAAAAAAAAAAAAAGTTTTCTGTATTGCTTGTCTATTACTGAGTAATAAATTAACTTTAAACATTTAGCAGCTTAAAACAGTATACGTTTATTTTTTCACAGTTTCTGTGGGTCAGGAATTAAGAGTGGCTTGGCTGAGTGATTCTGGCTTAGTTCTTGCATGAGGTTGGGAACAAGATGCCCCCAGGGTTGCAGTCAACTGATGGGCTGCAAGACTTGAGGGAGTTGGAGGATCTTCTTCCAGGGTGGCTCACCTGTAGACCTAGCAAATTAGTGTTGGCTGTTGGCAGAAGGCCTCAATTCATTTCCTCCCTGTGAGGGCGTCTCCAGAGGGCTGCTTGAGTATCCTCTTGACCTGGCAGCCAGGCTCCTTCACAGCAGGTGATCCAAGGGAAAGAAAGCAAGCCAGAGCTGTGGTGCTTTCTATGACCTAGCTTTGGAAGTAGTTTCATGCTGTCATTTCCACAACATCCTGTTGGTTACCCAGGTCAGCCTGTTGAACGTGGAGGGGACTACAAAAGGGTATAAATATTAGTAGGTGAATGTAATTGTGGGCCATCCTGGAGACTGGCAACCACTTTCTGTCCACATTCTTCTGGAGTAGGGCAGGGAGGGCCCAGACTGGGTTTCCAGGAGCTAAAGTAGGAGAAAGATAGAACTGGTGCATGAAATATACAGCAAAACCCAGGACTAGGTCCATGGAACAGAAACGAAAAACATACGAAAACCACAGAGATTAGCAAATGAACATGAAATCATAGGATATGTATAAAGCATGGAAAGGAAACTGTTTACGTGGCTGTGTTAGAGGCTATGACATGAGGTAGTTCTTCAAAGTGCTTAAAGCAGAACCTACTACCCAGTTTAAGAGTGTCCACTGTGTACCAGGCCCCGTGCTAGAAACCTTACACAGAGTATTACATTTTATTATCACACAGACTCTGCAAAGTAGTTGAAAAGGCCCTAGCTGAGTGTCAACTGATCTGAATTCTAGTTCACCCCTGCTGCTGATTAGCAAGTTGTATTGTCTCTTTGAGCCTCAGTTTCCTTGTGTGAAAAAGTAGGGATAATGATACAGGCTCCATTGATTTGTGCCAAGGAATGAAATGAGTCAGTAACTATAAAATACTTAGAACAATGCCTGGCATGAGATGGGCTCTGAAGAGCATTAGCTGCGGCTGCTATTGCTGTTACTGTCATCACCATCTTCAGCCTCCTCTTGATTATTATCACTGTTGCTGCCTAACTTTATCAGCCTGCAGTCTCCTAATCAATAGGTATTGAATGGAAGGCTTACACACTGCAGTTGTTTTCTAAAGCCCTTTTCATCACTGTGGAAGAAGAACCAATGAAAACATTTACAGAAAGCTGCTACTTTAAGGAAAGGTGTTTCACTACTAAGGCCATCATTTCTGCTGTACTTAGCTCCGAGTTGGTTCCCCTGTTATGTCTTGGGCTGCAGCTTTTCCTGTGCCTCCATTCCAGGTGGTGATGTTCTGGACTATGATGCTGAATGGTCCTTTACCCAGAGCCCTGCAGAATTCGGAGCACCCAACTCTCCAGGCGAGCGCCTGTGATGCCCTGTCTTCCATCTTGCCAGAGGCCTTCAGCAATCTGCCGGTAACATGAGGGTGTTTTCTCACCCTTAAATGATGGCTTGAGCACCAGAGCTAGAATTTGATTGTTTTGCATTTTGAACCAGTATTCAGCATTATCTCTGATGAAAAGGTATTTGTTCTACCTGAGTTGGGGACGAGGGCACTGGGGAACAGCAAATAGGAAAACTTGAAGCCTTAATATATCAGGAAAGCTGTTTCCCCCTGTACATTGGAATGTGGGTGGTAGAGGCAAGGGTAGCAGAAGTTTGGAAGGCAGATGGATTTCAGGAAGATTTCATATCCAAAGTTAAAAAGGCCTTGAGTTAAATCCCAGCTCTTCGACTTGCCAGCTCTTTGACTCTTAACCTCTCTAAAACTTGGTGTTACCATCAATAAGATGGCAGTCATGTGAAAAATAACAAAGTATGTGAAAATACTTAGATTGATGCCCAACACATACAGTATTTGTCTTAGTCTGTTTGAGCTGTTATAACAAAATACCGTAAATTGGGTAGCTTCTAAACAACAGAAATGTATTTCTCATAGTTCTGGAGGCTGAAATTAAGATCAAATCACTGACAGACACAGATTTCGTGCCTCAGGAGGGCTCGCTCTCTGGCTCACAGATGGCACCATATGAGCTGTGTCCTCATGTGGCAGAAGGGGCAAGGCAGCTCTCTGGGGCCTCAGTCATAAAGGTGCTTATCTCTTTCATGAGGGCTCTGTTCCCATGACCTAATCTCCTCCCAAAAGCCCCACCTCCTGATACCATCACCTTGGTAGTGAAGATTTCAACATAGGAATTTGGGGAGAACATAAACATTCAGATCATAGCAGAATTCAGACTGCTTTTTTTCTTTAGTCCTCAGTGGTATTTGTGTCTATTCTTATTTACATAAATTAGCTTCTATAAAGAAGGCAACTTTAATGAGGTAGAGGAATAAAAATAACCTAATTCACATGGCTATAAAGGTTAAACATGATGAGATGCTGTGTGTGTCTTGCACAAAGTGGGTGCTCAGGTAATCATGGAATCTGAATTGAACCTGCTGTTTACCAGGGTAGCCTCAAGGTCGCAGTAGTGTTCAACTCCTGAATATGGTCTCAGACACAGATATTTCACATCTTTCATGGAAGCCTTTGGCTTATAGTGATTTCATTCTCATTTTTCCCTTGTCAACCCTCTCATCGCAGAATGACAGGCAGATCCTGTGCATCACAGTGCTGCTCGGACTGAATGACAGCAAGAATCGCTTAGTGAAAGCTGCAACCTCGCGGGCCCTGGGAGTCTATGTGCTTTTTCCCTGTCTCAGACAGGTCAGAGTGAGCCTATTTAGTTGTTCTGTGCCCGTTTTGTAGTCCATGGCACCCCTATTTTGTGAATATAGAGCTCCTGTATTGGATGGTAAAAGAAACTCAATTGGTTTGTAATCTGATTTCTTGTTGCTACTAAAACATGGTCATGGGCCAGGCATGGTGGCTCATGCCTGTAATCCCAGCACTTTGGGAGGCCAAGGTGGGTGAATCACTTGAGGTCAGGACTTTGAGACCAGTCTGGGCAACTTGGTGAAACCCCATCTCTACAAAAAATTAAAAAATTAGCCAGACATGGTGGTGCGCACCTGTAGTCCCAGCTACTTGGGAGGCTGAGGTGGGAGGCTTGCTTGAGCCTGGGAGGTGAAGGTTGCAGTGAGCAGAGATTGCACCACTACACTCCAGAAGTGTTTATATTGTTTATATATAAACAACTCTAGACATTACTATATACATATACCATATATATTTATTACCATATATATGGTAATGCTTGTAGTTCATTCATTTTTAATTAGCACACTGCCTGGGACCCTAGGTGCCCAGTAAATGTTTAAATTAATGAATGATCTAATAAAAATGAAATGCGGCCTTACCAGGTGGTAGTCATCATTTAGAAAGCTGATACAGTTTTTACTAAGAAGGAAATAACACCCTCTTTCTCACTTACTTGTGACATTTATCTCACTGGGTGGTGTGTAGTACATAGGATGTGTTTTGGAAATGCATTTCTTTCTCAGAACATTACTTCCTGAGATGATAATCAACCAAGCACAGAGTGCCTGGATAACTGCCCCAGGCCAGGTTATGTATTCCACGTTCATAAGAGCAAAATCCATAGACTCCTCGGGTGTCCATGGCACATACCAAAATCATGGGAGCCTCTCCTGGGATTGTTTTGAGTGTCCAAAGTGTAAAATATAAGAGTAGTACATTGATTGAGTAGATGAATTTTGATTTCCAAGTAGAAATTTGCTGTGAATGCTTATAGATATCTGAAAATAAGTTTGAGAATTTCAAAGGTAGCAGCATGACCTCCTCAAGTAACAGCAGTGTTTTGTTTTGTCTTACAGGATGTCATATTTGTTGCAGACACAGCAAACGCAATATTGATGTCACTTGAAGACAAGTCTCTGAATGTTCGGGCCAAAGCAGCCTGGTCCCTAGGCAACCTGACAGACACTCTGATTGTCAACATGTAGGTGGCTCAGCTTGCTTTCCCCAGCTGATTTCTGAGACTAAGGTCCCAAGAGAATGTCCTCAATCGCTACTATGAAAGAATCAGCAGTAGTTCCCCCATATTATGCAGTCATTCTTCCTGCTTTGTTTTAGTTTATATTCCTTCAGAAAATAAAATTAATAAGCTGTTCTTAACATATATTAGGAATATATTAAGACATAGATGTATTTAAAATACCGTATGCCGATATAAGTAATATGTCCACATTATAGAAAACATAAAAGCAAAACCTTAGTAATGGTTACTGTGCTTTTAAAATACATTTTAAAAAATTTCTTAAAGTAATATATTCACAGACTAAAAAAAAAATCCAAATGGTACAAAGCAGTATTCAGTGTGAAACCTTTCTTCTACCCTGGCACCTTGGTTCCCTTCCCCAGAGGTAGCTTCTTATTCATGCGCAAGTGTCCTGCTTTTTGTCATTTCACTGTGTAAGTGACATGTAAAATGTGTAAGCATTCTCTTTTATTATTGACTTGTTATAAATCCTTATGTATGGTTACATAACTATCACTGTGTGATGATCATTTAATCATTTTTCTATTACTGAACGTTTGTTTTATGCTATACGCTTGTAGGCTTTTATATTCAGTGAATATTTTTGTGCATGATATCTGGATTTTGAGATTTTTTTGGAGACATTCCTAGGTGTGGGACTATCGGGTTGAAAGATACATACTGTAAGTTTCTTGGTATAATCTAAACAGATTTGTTAAACTGTTTTCCTAAATTTTGTATGGTTATACTAAGTGAATATATTTTTATATGTATATATTTAAGTACATTTACCTTTTAACATGTTTGCCTGCTTTGGGTGGAACAGGGAAACACCAGACCCAAGTTTCCAGGAAGAGTTCTCCGGTCTTCTGCTCTTGAAAATGTTACGATCAGCTATAGAAGCATCCAAGGATAAAGACAAGGTAAACTCACAACAAAACCCAGTATCTCTCAAATAGATACTTAATGTATTGTAGCTGTAGTGTGGTGGCTTAGTGTGGCTTGATGTTCCTCAGACTTTCCCACCAAATGTTACCCCTGTTCAAATTGAGGGTGTGCTCAGTGTTATAAATGACCCTCTCCACACATGTACAGTTTCTTTACTGTCTCCTGCCTCCTGAAAAGTATCAGTGCCCATCGTCATACTATATGACATATTCAGGTTCCTTTTAAAATTAACTGGTTTTTTGTTGTTGTTGTTGTTTTGTTTTGTTTTTGTTTTTGTTTTTTTTTCAAAAAAAAAAAATCTTTATGTAGAATTGGCAATTCAGAAAGATGAGTAGCTCCTGGCTTTGAATATTACCTGTTAAACTAATAAGTTTAAAAAGCATAGGTCTGACCTTTAGGTCAGACATACATGGATTCAATCCCTGGCTTGCCCTTTAGTAACTAGGTGACTTTGATATGTTATATGTAACTTCTTTGAAGGTCAGCTCTTCACCTGTAACATGGAGGTTGTGGCATATACTCACTGAATATAAAGATGCCTTATGTTAAAGCACCTAGCACAGTACCTGACCCATATTATGTGCTCACTTTAATACTACTTCTGAAAATCTGGTAATCACCCAGGAAGCCCTATCCAGAGTAATTCACTCACAAGTTCTGAGGTTAGGGCCTGTGAATTGGTTTTAAAACAAAAGGAAAAACCTCCCCCAAATGATTCTGGTGGGCTAGTCCAGTAGAAAAGTATTGGACTGGAATTATGGAACCTAGCCTCTCCTCCTCACCATGCTATAAACCAACCTTGTCCTGTTGTCCCTGGTCCTTATACACCATCTCAGTAAAACAAGGAAGATGGCCCTCACTGAGGTCCTAACACTAAATAACATAATTAAATAATCAGAAGAGTTTTGTAGAACCTTCACCTTTCTGATGGTTTAGAATGTTAACCAGACAAGACCTTGCAGAGTTCCAAGGACTTGCTTTAAGAAGTCTAGGACCTTAAAAAAAAAAAAAGGCTGGGTGTGGTGCCTCACACCTATAATCCAAGCACTTTGGAGGCCAAGGCGGGCAGATCACCTGAGGTCAGGAGTTCAAGACCAGCCTGACCAATATGGTGAAACCCCATCTTTAAAAAAAAAAAAAAAAAAAAAAAAAGTCTAGGACCTCCTGGGTTTTTTTTAAAGCTGAAATTAGACTTTTGGAAACATCTCTCTGGCTTAACAGATTTCTAAAGCTTTTACATTTTTTTTTTAGGTAAAAAGCAATGCTGTCCGGGCCCTTGGAAATTTGCTTCATTTTCTGCAACGCTCTCATATAGAAAAACCCACATTTGCAGAAATCATTGAGGAGTCTATCCAGGCCCTAATTTCCACTGTTCTAACAGAAGCTGCCATGAAAGTCCGATGGAATGCTTGTTATGCAATGGGAAATGTTTTTAAAAATCCTGCCCTTCCATTAGGTAAGAAAGTTTCCCTTTTCTCCCTGGTGGAAAGCTGCTTGGGACAGCACACACCAGTCTACATTGTTGTTAAAGACGTTAGTCACATGTTGTACGTCATAGTATTAGGAAAAAATGGAGACATACTGAAAACAAGTTTAGGGGAACATTGAAATACATCATTACCTATGGGTAATATATAATGGGATAGTTTATTGCCATTTAAAATTACTTACAAGAATTTGATAATCTGGAAAAATACTTCTGGTGTTAAACGAAAATAGATATTAAGTCATTTCTACAGAATGATCTCAATAGATGGATAGAAAAAAGACTGAAAGGAAATTGTCCTAATTATTAACAGTGATTGCCTCTGGATGAGCAGAATTTTTTCTGTTTTCATTTTCCTAATTGTCTACAATAGCATATATTGTTTTAATAAAGTCAAGAAAAAATAAAGGAAAAAACTGGAATGAGAGGGGATATAAATTGGAAATCCCATATGAACTGTGTACAGAGTGGATGCCATTAATAAATGTAAGGAGGGCATCTGTCTCTAATTAGTGGTGTGCGGTGCACCTAGAGGTGTCATTCAGGACCAGCAGCTGCTTAGTTGTATGGATCAGAGCCTCCAAATCTTGCTCACTTTGAATGCCAGCATTCACTTTATTGCATCTCTCTCTCTTTCTCTCTCTCTCTCAGAAGATCTGAAACCTAAGGATGTCTTCCTGGAGAGGAGAGCATGCATCAAGCAAGGGGAGTCTGGCTCTGCTCCCTGTTATTGCCCAGAGCATCCAGGCAGGCCAATCAGCTGGGAGCATGTGGAGAAGTAGCCTCCTGGCTTCTTCTACTTAGGAAGTCACCTAAGGGTGACCTTTGGGGTTGGGGCTCACTGAGGTAAATGTCTGCCTTCTGGAGAGCCAAGAGGTCCTTGAAACCAGGGCACCTCAATGGTGGTTGGCTCCTACCTGCCGTCCTATCTGGCTCTTGCCCTCATCCTACTAGAGAGAGAGAAGTTGACAGGGACTGCATGACCTGGAAGGAAAGGGAAGCTCCAAAGAGGCAGGAAGTTTGAGAGCTAGAAAGCATCCATAGCAGAGCTATTAGGAGACACATAAGAAAGGGGAGCCAGAAACTGACAAAGGACTGTGACTGACAGGTTGGAGTGTGACAGTCTCATAGCTCTAGCAGTGGCCCATTGTCAATGGCAGCAGCATCTACCAAATAGAAAGGGCCTGCTCGCTTGTCTTCGGAGGCAACAGAGAAGCAGGGAAGGGCTAGGAGAGTTAAGAGAAGCTGCATTCTACTCTGTCACCCATCTTGAGGAGTAAGGACACCCCAAAATGGAGTGGGTAGCAGTAGCTCTGGTAAGGAGGAAAGTAGGCTGGTTTCCTAGGGCCTACAAGAATGGAGAAAAGATAGAAATCTGGGCATCTTATTCTTGAAATTGTAAGTTTTTTTCTTTGCAATAAAATGTGTGATTTGCTATGGCCAGAGCAGTGTCTGGATGCTGCTGTGAGTGAGGAAATAATTATTTTTGCTGCATGAACAGGGCCGCCACATGCAGTGTGTGATGTGCACACTGCTCAGAAGTGCCCAACTGAGAAGACAGATGGGGTTGCAGTTCAGTCCATGCTCTGCCACGAAGCCTTACCCCATGGGACAGAATCCTCCCAGAGAAGAAGCCTTTTTCTGGATCACCAAAGGCCCTATATTGGGTAGCAGAGGCTCTAAGCATGTGGCAGGCTGATAACAGGGAAAAAGGGAGGTTTGGAGATTGACACCTGGGCACTTACCTAGGATTCTACAGTCAGTCACCACCCTGATCTTACAGGATGATTGTGAGAATGAAGTGAACACATAAAATGACTGTCTTGAGCACTAGTGTTTATGCTTCCTTCTGCCCCTCTATTTCTAAGCCTGCATATGTTTTAATGACTATGGATTCTTTCTAGGAACAGCCGCATGGACCTCCCAGGCCTACAACGCCCTGACATCGGTCGTGACATCATGCAAGAACTTCAAAGTGCGCATCAGATCTGCTGCTGCCCTTTCCATCCCGGGCAAGAGAGAGCAGTATGGGTCTGTTGACCAGTATGCTCGGATCTGGAACGCATTGGTCACTGCCTTACAGAAGAGCGAAGACACCACAGACTTTTTGGAATTCAAGTACTGTGCCAGCCTACGGACCCAAATCTGCCAGGCACTGATTCACCTCCTGAGTTTGGCCAGTTCCTCAGATCTGCCTTGTATCAAAGAAACCCTTGAACTGAATGGGAATATGGTCCAATCCTATATCCTACAGTTTTTAAAATCAGGAGCAGAGGGAGAGGACACGGGAGCACCCCCCAGCCTACAGGAAAGAGATCAAATGGTCAGGATGGCCCTGAAGCACATGGGCAATGTCCAGGCACCGACTGGAGACACAGCCAGAGGGGCCATCATGGGCTTTTTAGAAGAGATCCTGGCTGTTTGTTTTGACTCATCTGGATCACAAGGGGCACTCCCAGGGTTAACAAATCAGTGAAGATCCCACCATACTTTATAGATGTCGAAGGTGGCAATAGGAAGACCTGAGCTTGAGCAAAAGGTACGTGGGATTTCATCTTACGGGCAGAAACAATCCATTCACTGTTTATTTAGAATGACTTAGCAGTGATTTAAATTTTCACAGAGTGGCTCCGCAGCACTGGCCATGGTCAGGCTTGTTGGAACCTTTGACCTGTGCATCCAGGAGCCCAGGAGTCAGGTTGTATTATGGGCCAAGCAGACAGGGGGGCTTTGAGTGCAGTTAGTCTCAGAAAAAAAAAAAAAAAAGGTAGGATTTAGGAATTACAGTATTGTATATTATGTCTGTAATTGTGTAATAAACTAAAGAGAAATAGTGTGACCACAATCTCCTGTTGTTACCAAGTTGTATTTCTAGAAAGCTGCAAGCAGAGCTGCAGTTCAGCCAGTTTGTACTGGCGCAGCCGTGCAGGATACAAGGTTACTGACAGTTCCTCACAGTTGATAAGGAGCTGCTGCTCTGAGCTTCTGGAGTGCCCGTGTTCCCGCTGACGGCCTTCTCTGCCACACTTCCCCTCCCACAATCCAATAACCAGAGTTAACTCCCAGCAAGTAGGACCCTTTAGCCTAGGCCACAACATCGACTTCCTAAATTTCCTGATGCCCTTTTGGAGATTGTGAGCCCACACACTAAATTATGGTTGTTTTGCCACCTCTTAATTTGTGCCTTTAAGAAAAGATAACCTGGTTAATTTAGTTGGTTACAAAGAGGAGTTTCAAATTATATTTTGATAATGCCCCCAAAAGTTATGAAAGTAATTTCTACTGAATATATATATTTAAATTTTACATTTCTCTATTGAGCACCTACAATTTATTGGAATTGATTTCAATTAGGAATGTAGGGATATTTAAGAACAAATTAAAGTTTTCCATACTTTGATGTGGGACAATTAAGAAGATACAAAAAATGGGTTTTGGTGATATTTAATCATCGTATTTAGCTTAAAATACGTGCTTAAAGGCATGTGTCTTCCGTTTTTCTCCTTTGCCTTTTAGTTGCTCTTTTCCTGCCTCTGATATGTTGTTGGAGGCTCAGAAACTGCTCTCTGGGCAGTGATGGGGGAACAGAGTATTAAAGTTCACTAAAGGCTCAGTTTTCCATTGATAGAATATCAGTTTCCACAGAATTAAGACTGTAAGCACAGCAAAGACACTGAAATTGGATGCCTTTAAATTGCTTCTTTGGAGATAACTCTGAACATGAAGTGTTATGGAGGGCCCAGGAAACTAAGTTGAGCCCGCCTGACCCTGTGATGAGTCTTGGAACTTCCTTCTCTTGAATACATCGTAGTAATAGCTTCTTGGCATTTTCAGAAAAGGAAAAATATGGCATATATAGCTTATTACTATGATTCTTTGAGTTTTCTCAGGTGAGTTTTTTATAAAACATTTGTGAAGTGGCCTCATGGTTTCATTTGATGATTCACTGTTATCTTTTGCTTATCTTGAATAAAATCCCATTCATTTTCTTTTTAAAACCTTAGCCACTGTAAAGGTTTCCAAATCCTGATGTGGATGTTAATGTTCATGTGCAGAAGAAGAACCAAGGCAGTATGCTGATTCTCTTCCCTGCAGCATCGCAGGTATTACAGACACCAGAGGACAGGAGCTCCTCTCAGATGCCTGCGCAGGTGCCTCCGGAAAGCTGCTGTGGGGAAAGGAAGCCACAGATAATAAAAACAACTTATGCTGATGAAAACCAGCAGATAACCCCACTGATTCATAATTCTAATGCAGAATGCCAAATTCTAAGTTAGTTTTTAACTACTTAAAAATTGGGAGGAAGAGTCATTCAGCACAGATGACTAGGACCTTTGTCCATTAGACTACAGCATTATGAGACATTGCTTATCTTGCTCTTTGAACCTTTTTTGTCACCAGCAAAAAAAACCATTAATTCCTACCTGCTTCCAGAACTCAAGAAAAGCGCCTCTTCTGAGATTGGGTGCCATGGCTCATATCTGTAATCCCAATAGGCCAAGGCGGGGGATCACTTGAGCCCTAGGAACTCTAGACCAACCTAGGCAATGTAATGGGACTTTGTCTCTACAAAAAAAAAAATTAAAAATTAGCTGGGTGTGGTGGTGCACACCTATTGCCCCAGCTACTCAGGAGGCTGAGGCGGGAGGAGTGCTTAAGCTGTGGATTTTGAGGCTGCAGTGAACTGTGATTGCAGTACTGCACTCCAGCCAGGGCAACAGAGTAAGACCCTCTCTCTGAATGAAAAAAAAAAAAGAAACCTCCTGTAGAGCAGTGAAGCAAAGGTGTCCTTGATTTTGGCATTTGTGTATGAATAAAGGCCATGAGCAAAACCTCACCATCTTTCCAGCGTAAGAGCTAAGTAAATCAAATACTCTGGCTCATTCAGCCTTTGCTTCATTGATATAGTACAGTGGTTAAGAGCTTGGGTTTAAATCCTGGCTGTGCAGCTTCCTACCTGTGAAAGTTACTTAACCCCTTCATGCCTTATTCATCTGTAAAATGGGGATAAAAGTGCCTACTTCATAAGGATGTTATGATGATTGAATTAGTTAATACATAGAAAGTTCTTGGAACAGCTTCTGATACTCAGTAAATATAAGGTATTTATTTCCTTGAATTTTCAGAGCAGTAGACAGAAAAAGTTCAAAAAGATAATTCATTAGCATATAAAATATATATCTCAACAGGGACTTCCCTAAAAGACTCAGAACCAAGACAGGCAAGAATGATATCACCAATATACCTAAACTGTACAACAATTAATGGCCATGTGATTCAATAAACCAAAATCAAAATTTTCAGAGTTTTTTTTTTCAAAAAGAGCTTCAAAATTATCATTGTTTGCAGAAAATGAGCCTGAGTGATTGAATTCACAAATTATTGCATGCAGAAAACCAAGAAAATCAATTCAGAAAGTAATGAAACCAATAAAAGTTCTGTAAGGCAGCTGGCTGCAAAGTACATATGCCAAAATCAGTGGCTGTTCTATATATCAGCAATAACCAATTTGATTTTTAATAAAAAGTTTAATAATAAAATGCCTGAGAATAAATTTAACCAAGTTTATGCAAGGATTGTGAGAAAAAAAAATTACCAGTGGTCATAAAATCCATGCTTTTGTTTTTTAAATAAAAATCCATCTCTTATTCCAGTCATACTGCATCTTGTTCCCACTGAATGCAACTATGAATCCTGGACCACAGGCATGGAGCAGTTAGCTTTGAAAACAAAATAGTAGCAGGAAGATCAAGGAAGCAAAAGAGAACTTGAAACACCACCAAAGGGGCAATCTGCCATTTTATTCCCCTTCTGGGATCCCCTGGCCTGGACTCAAAGATTTGCCAAAACCTGGAATTGCATCCTAACTGCAGATACAAAGAGCTCTGAGCCTCTGTTCCTGACCCTAGGAGAGAGTGCAGCACCCCTATATGTCAGAGAAAGCAGGGAAGTCCTGTTTGCTGCCGCTTTTCTCCACACCAGCCCCTAGGCAATTGCACTGCACAGTGGCAGCCAGGCAGGTGCCTAAAACTTCAAGGGAAGGAAACTCATCTCTCTGGCAGGGGAAGAAGGGTCCCAGCAGCAAGGGAAGCATGCCCATGGCTTTTTTCTTCTCTATACATCCTTCCATGCTTGGCCGTGGAGGCAGAAACTGTAGGGCAGAGCAGTACAGTTAAAACCCTGACTTAAACCGATCTGCCCGCCAGAGGAATGGAAAGAGACACCCCTGAGACTGTAAAGTGTTGAGATTTCAGCAATGAGGGAAAGTAAGAAGGCAATGCCCTAAAGTTGTATATAAACTCCTGGGCTAACACCCAGGCTTTACCTGTGTGGATCTGACCAAAGGCTTTGAGAACTGAACCGTGGGACAAACCACTGCCACTGGGTGGCGCACACACGGGACGGATCTGAAGCTTAACTGACACTGAACCACAGCCTGCAGGAGGCAGGTAGGAACTTGAACCTAACCAGGACCCTGCTAAAGCAAAAACATAGGCTTCCAACATGGCCCAGATTCTCATCACACAGAATTCGAATGTTCAGGATATTGTGCATAATTACTTGACTTGTAAAGAACAGAGAACCTCACAATTTCCTGAAGACACTCCTGGGCTCAAGAATCTTCCCACCTCAGCCTCCCGAGTAGCTGGGATTACAGGAACCTGCCTCCCAAGCAGCTGGGATTACAGGCACCCACCACCATGTCCGGCCAATTTTTGTATTTTTAGTAGAGACAGGGTTTCGTCATGTTGCCCAGGCTGGTCGTGTACTCCTGGGCTCAAGCGATCTGCCCGCCTCAGCCTCCCAAAGTGCTGGGATGACAGGCATGAGCCACTGCACTCGGCAGAGACAAAAACTTTAAATTATATATTAAAATCATATCCCAAGAAGTAAAGACAAACCATCGTGAAACAAATTTTTAAAAAGCATCAGCAGAAATAAAAGACAAATAAAGTCTCCAAATGGAAACTTCAGAATTGAAAAATGAGACAAATGGAAGTTTTAAAAGTCACTGAATAGTCTCAATAGGAGGACAATGATGACAGATGAAAGAGTCACTACACTTGAATATAAATCAACAGAAATTGTCCGATCTGAGCAAGAGGGAGAAAAAAATATTAGGAAAAAGAGAGAGCCTTACAGATTTACAGAACAATACACAAAGTTCTAACATCTTCGTGATTGGAGTTCCATAAGGAGAGGAGGAAATATGTCTCACAGAAAAAGATATTTGAAGAAATAATGGATGAAAAATTACCAAATTTGGCTAAATTCAAACTTGTAGATTCAAGAATCTCAGCAAACCCTAAGCAAGATAAAAGAAACCCATGGCCAGACAAATCATAATCAAATTTCTAAAAATTGAAGACAAAGAAAAATCTTTAAAAGCGTCCAGAGAAAAACATCACATCACATGTAGGGGAACAATTATTCAAACAACTCCTCAGAAACTGCAGAAGCCAGAGATCAGCAGACTATGTCTAAAGGGTTGGAAGAAAAGAACTTCCAAGCCACAATTCTATATACAACGCAAATATTTCTTAGTAATTAAGGCAAAATAAAACATTCTTAGTTGAAGAAAACTTAAAGGAATTTGTGACCACCAGACCTGCTGTAAATAAAGGAAAAGGATTTATTCAGACAGAAGGAAGATTATACCAGAGGAAAATTTTAAACTTTGGAAATGAAGAGCAACAGAAACGAGAAATATTTTGGTAAATATAATAGGTTATCTTTGTCATCTTAAGTTCTTTACACTATGTGTAACCAGTGAAAGCAGAAGGTAACATTGATGGAATTTTCAATGACTGTAGATGCAATAAA